TTAGAACAAGCTTAGCAAAGCACAGGGACCGCGGTTCAATCCCCCAGCACCACATGCCAGCCAGCCCCGCCCCCAGGTGGGCTGAGCTGGCCACACACAAAAATAAATAAATAAATAAATAAATAAATAAATAACACTCCAGGTCTAGAATTGCCACGTACTAAAATGTCATTTTGTATTTCAATAAACAACTAACAACACTCCCAGGCAAAGATAACAAATCTTAACTTTGTTTTTCTTCCAAGGAAACCAAAGGGTATCACTACTTGAGTCAGAATTCCCTTCCTTTCTAGGTTAAGAATTAGTGGAAAATGTATTAAGTAGCATTTAGGACAGGTCAAGCAAAAATGCATATTTATATGTGTTTTTAGTATTGGTGCCTGTAACTCAAAATCCAGAACTATTGTAATGTCATCATTTCATTATGGAGAGAAATAGGGTTTTCCTGAAAAGTACTGAGTGCTTTTTCTCCCTTAACTGAGAACTCAGTCCCAAAGAATGTGCTTATCTTGGAGTAACTTACACCCTGTTCACATGCCAAAGAAGTGAGTTGCTTCTGAGTTGTCTGCTGTGTTACTTGCCTTCTCCACACAAAACCTCTTTTCTCAAGGAGAGGTGACCAGAGGTGAACCATTTCTACATTTCCAGGGATGCTGTTAGAAATCTGTGCTTTTAGGACTTCTGGCTAGAGAAGAGAAATGAGAAGACGATTGTGTAGACTTTCAAGTTACAAATGTTTTGCGGAACCGGGAATTGAACTCAGATCCTTGCGTTTGCCAGTCAAGCGCTTTTCCTACTGAGGCATCTTCCTGGCCCTGAGCTATGTTTTAGGTCATAAGCTTAACTTTTAATTTTCATCTTCAGTCAAATCTACAGTCAGGTAGGCTTCATGAGTGCAAAGGCAGTATCCACTCTTTAAGATCCGGCGTTGCCAACAGGACACTAAAGGTGCCTTGCATACCAGCTAGAGGAATAGACAGATGCTTTCTAATTCAGATCCATGCACCTTCAAGTGGAGAAGGAAAGAAGTCAGGTATTGAAGGGGCATTCACCCAAGTGCAAAGTTCCTTGGAATCTAGATGGGAATGGAGGATCCTGTAACTCCAGGATATTTAATGAAACCTCTCCCCACTAAGCAAATATGCTTTCAAAGTTCATCTGTGATAAAGAGGCATTTATCTACTTATGCTTTAAAAAAATTGGGGCTCATGTCCTGCGTGCTAAAATATTGTAGTCAGCTGGGCATGGAGGTGCCTGCCTGTAACCTCAGCCCTTGTGAGGCCGAGGCAGCAGG